CCAATAAAGATTTTCTATGAAAAAGAATATGTAAAAGCTTTTAGTTTAGAAGCAAAGTACTGTTTCCAGCAAAAAGCAACCTCAGGCATACATTTTGTGTTTACATATACTCCTTGAGAATACTACAGTAGCAGTGCATAATTTCATTCTTTAAAAAGATTTGAAAAATGAATTTCAAGACACTCTTAATGCATTGTGCTTGCTGATAAAAACCCTAAGTATGACAATAACAGTTAAAACTGCATATGCATATATGTTAAGAGATCAGAAGAGGCTATAAAGAAATGTAAATAGTTGTGCTTCAGGGACTTTTTTCATAAAGTTGTTTTAATAATAAATATAAACTTAAAAAATGTCTCACTGACTGATATAAAATAGACAAAGATATCAAGGATTTTCTATAGTTGGCTTAGGGTTTGAAGATGAAAAATTATCTCCATATAAACCACCCAGTAACTGATGATTCCCATTCCTGGCTGGACACTTACAGTTAGGCAAAAGGCTGGGAAGAAAAGAGATTTTTTTCTCCTATCAAAAGCATTATTCAGAGGTAAAGCCAGGGTGAACCAACTAACTAAACAAATATCTACTTTCCTTTAGAGTTCTTAGACCAAATAGAGACCATGCTACTTTTATGAGGTTTAAAATAACCACACATGCTTGGTGTCTAGACCACAATCTATTCTGTAATTCAGAAGATGAATTAAATATATCCTGTCTTCTGTGAGCCCTAGGATAGCCATTATTCCTCAGTATTTTGTGCTTTTTAAAAAAGCCTCTACACATTAACGGTAAAACTCATTTTACAAACACCATGGCAACTGTTTATAATGATAAAGGTCACAGAATAATTTACATAGTAAGAATGATGTTCATAACTAGGCAATAAATACAATTTTATTCTTAGGATGGTCAGTTTGTTGTTTTAGGCCTTTAACTTTGAAGGACACATGAGCCTAACAATTAAAGTATATTTAATGTAAATTAGAAAAAAAGATTAAAAAATACCAAATATTTTAATTGAAGGTTTTTGCACAATGGGTTTAAATATAAAAAGAATTTTTTTTATTGTTGTTCAATTATAGTTGTCCCACTTTTACCCCCGCTACTCTCCCCAGCCCTGTCCACCCCCCACTCCCAGTCAATCCTCACCCCATTATCCTTGTCCATGGGTTCTTTGACTTGCCCCCTCCCTTCTCCTCTCCGGTCACTGTCACTTTGTTCTTTATTTCCATGTCTCTGGTTCTATTTTTCCTTGTTTGTTTTGTTGATTAGGCTACACTTATAGGTGAGATCATATGGTATGTGTCTTTCACTGCCTGGATTACATCACTTAGCATAATAGTCTCCAGTTCCATCTATGCTGTCTCAGAGGGGAGGAGTTCTTTCTGCTGCATAGTATCCCATTCTGTAAATGTACCAGTTTTTTGATCCACTCATTACTGATGGGCACTTAGGCTGTTTCCAGCACTTGGCTAATGTAAATAACACTGCTAAGAACATTGGGGTGCACAGGTTCTTTTGAGTTGGTGTTTCAGGATTCTTAGAATATAACCCAGCAGGGGAATCAGACTCAAAAGGCAGTTCCATTCTGTTTTCTGAGGAAATTCCATACTGTTTTCCACAGTGGCTGCCGCAGTCTGCATTCCCACCAACAGTGCACTAGGGTTCCCTTTTCTCCACATCCTCTCCAACACTTGTTTGATTTGTTTATGATGGCCATTCTGAGCAATGTGAAGTAGTATCTCTTTGGGATTTTAATTTGCATCTCTCTGATGGCTAGTGATGCTGAGCATCCTTTCATGTCTCTGGGCCCTCTGTATGTACTCCTTGGAGAAGTGTCAGTTCAGTTTCTTTGCCCATTTTTTAAATTGGGTTGTCTTCTTGGTGTGGAGTCATGTGAGTTCTTTATAGAGATCAAACCCTTGTCCAAGGTATCACTGGCAAATATATTTTCTCTTACAGTTGGTTCCCTTTTCATTTTGCTGATGTTTTCTTTAGCTGTGCAGAAGCCTTTTAATTTGATGTAGTCCCATTTGTTTATTCTTTCCTTTATATGCCTCACCCTAGGGGACATATGGGTGAAAATATTACTGCATAGGATATCTGAAATTTTCCGGCCTACCTTCTCCTTTAGGGCTTTTATGGTGTCAGAACTTATATTTAAGTCTTTTACCTTGAGTTTATTTGGGTCTATGGTGTAAGTTGGTGGTCTAGTTTCATATTTTTTGCATGTACTTGTCCATATCTCCCAACACAAGTTATTAAAGAGGCTATTTGTACTCCATTTTATGTACCTGCCCCCCTTCTCAAATATTAACTGTCCATAGAAACATGGGTTTATCTCTAGGCTTTCTATTCTGTTCCATTGATCTATGTGTCTGTTCTTATGCCAGTACCAGACTGTTTTGATTACAATGGCCTTGTAATATAGTTTGATATCAGGTATTGATCTCTCCTATTTTGTTCTTCTTTCTCAAAATTGCTGAGACTATTCTGGGTTGTTTATAGTTCCATACAAATATTTGAAATATTTTTCTGTATCTGTGAAATGCTATTGATATTTTGATAAGGACTGCACTGAATGAACAGATTGCTTTGGGTAATATGGACATTTTAATGATGTTAATTCTTCCAATCCATGAATATGGTACATGCTTCCATTTATTTGGGTCTTCATTTCTTTCTTCAGTGTTCTGTAGTTTTCTGAGTACAGATCTTTTACCTCTGTGGTTAACTTTACAACTAGGTATTTTACTTTACTTGTTGCTACGGTAAATGGGATTTTTTTCCTAATTTCTGTTTCTGATATTTCATTGTTGGTGTACAAAAATGCCCTTGATTTCTGAATATTGACTTTGTATCCCACTGTTTTGCCAAATTCACTTGTTAGGTTGAGCAATTTTTTGGTGGATTCTATAAGGTTTTCTATGTACACTATCATGTCATCTGCAATCAATCACAGTTTTACTTCCTTCTTTCCAGTTTGGATGCCTTTTATTTCTTCTTCTTTTCTGATCATTGTAGCTAGAACTTCCAATACCATGTTGAATAACTGTGGTGACAGCAGACACCCTTGTCTTGTTCCTGATCTTAGGGGAATAGACTTTAGTTTTTGCCTGTTGTGTATGATATTGGCTGTAGGTTTCTCATATGCTCCCTCTACTCCCACTTTGTTAAGTGTTATCATAAATGAGTTCTGTACTTCATCAAATGCTTTTTCAGCATCTATTGATAAGATCATGTGTTGACTTATTTTGTTTATATGATGTATTACATTTATTGATTTGTAAATAGTGTACCATCCTTGCATCCCTGGGATGAATCCCACTTGATCATGGTGTATGATCTTTCTAATATATTGCTGGATGCAGTTTGCCAATATTTTGTTGAGGATTTTAGTGTCTATGTTCATCAGCGATATGGCCTGTAGTTTTCTTTCTTCGTTGTGTCTTTATCTGGTTTTAGAATTAGGGTGATGCTGGCTTCATAAAAAGAGTTTGAGAATCTTCCCTCTCCTTGGATTTCTTGGAATAGTTTGAGAAGGATAAGGGTTAGCTCTTCCTTAAATATTTTGTAAAATTCTGTGAAACTGTCCTTTCCACAGCTTTTGTGTCTCAGGAGTTTTTTGATTACCCCTTCAATTTCACTAGCTGTTATCAGTCTATTCAGGCTTCCTGCTTCTTCTTGACCCAGTTTTGAAGGATTATAGGTTTCTAGAAATTTGTTCAGTTCACTCAGATTTTCAAATTACTTGGCATATAGTTATTTGTAGTAATTTCTTACATTCCTTTATATTTCTGTGGTATCAGTTGTAATCTCTACTCTTTCATTTCTGATTTTATTTATTTGGTGCCTCTTTTTTTTTTCTTGAGTCTTGTTAGAGACTTGTTGATTTGGTTTATCTTTTCAAAGAACCAGCTCCTGGATTTATTGATCCTTTGAATTGTTCTTTTAGTCTCTATGTCATTTAATTCTGCTCTGATCTTGGTTATTTCCTTCCTTCTGCTCACTCTGGGCTTTGATGTTATTCTTCTAGTTCTTGTAGAAGTAGGATTAGGTTGTTTATTTGAGACTTTTCTATTTTTTTAGGTAGACCTCTATTGCTATAAACTTCCCTCTCGGGATTGCCTCCACTGTGTTCCATAGGTTCTGGGCTGTTGTGTGTTCATTTTCATTTGTTTCCAGAAATTTTTTTTATTTCTTCCTTGATCTATTAACCCATTCATTGTTTAATAGCATGCAATTCAGTCTCCATGGATTTGAGTTTTTTTCTTGAGGTTGGTTTCTAGTTTCAAGCCATTGTTATCTGAGAAAATGCCTAATATGGTTTCAATTTTTCTTGAATTTGTTGAAGCTTGTTTTGTGTCCTATCATGTGGTCTATCTTTGAAAATATTCCATGTGTATTTGAAAAGAATGCACATTTTGCTTCTTTGGGGTAGAAGCACAGAAGCTTCTTCGGTTCTTTGTATACATCAGTTAAGTCCATTTGATGTAGTGTATCATTCAGTGCCACTATATCCTTGTTGGTATTTTGCTTGGAAGATCTGTCCATTGTTGACAATGAAGTGTTAAAATCCCCTATGATGAGGGTGTTGCTGTCTATACCTTTCTTGAAGCCCTCCAAGATGTTCCTTATATATTTGGGTGCCCCTATGTTGGGTGCATATATGTTTACAATGGTTATATATTCTTGATGGATTCTACCCTTCAGTATTATGAAGTGTCCTTCTCTGTCTCTTTTTATGGCCTTTGTTTTGAAATTCATTTTGTCTGATATAAGAATTGCTACCCTGGCTTATAAAAGAATTTCTTAAAAGAATTTTCTAGATGTCACTCAGAAGCATCCTGTTATCTGTAACATAATGTCCCCGAGTCCTTTGAATAAAATTATAGAGTAATTTAAAATATATATTATACATTTATAATCACTGTAAATCATTCAATAGTTTGTACCATATTCATGGAGTGAAAGAGATAAAAGGCAGTCCACATTCATATTTTCAAGATAAATTTACTTCAGAAGTCAACTGAATTCCTTGCTCATGTTCTAAGTATAGCCATTGTGATAAGACCTGAAAGAAAAAAATGGAGAACAATTAAAGATACACATTTTTATAAAATGTTCCATTCAATAAGCAATTGTTTAGCCTTCAATGAGCAAACATAATACAGCACATAAGCAGGTACTCTATCAATAACTTGAAGTCAATTCAAATTCAGTTGATATTATACAGATGAAATCCAATTGATAGCAAAGGGCAGTTACTGGACAGACAAGCATTAGTGTCTGAATATAGCTAATTTTTTAACCATCAAATATACCTCCCACCTTATCTAGTTTCATCAGTTATAATAATAGTAGACATGCCATTTTAAAGTGTCAGTAAAGCCAGTTGACTTCATCAACAAAAACACTGTGGGCCTATTTGCATCCCAGGGTCCTAGGGCCACAAATAGACAGAAGCATAGTATTCTTGTTTGGCTTGTCTATTTTGAAGAAACTCCAGACCTAAAATCATAAAATGTAATAAAATGTTCAGTCTTATATGAGTGATTTAAAAAGCATGTGATGAAGTACAGAGGAGAATAATCACATAGGGATGGGGCAGTCAGAAAAGATACCCCAAAAGGTAAAGGTGAAATAAGCCTGAAAGATAATAGAACAATGAGATGGGCAGACATTCAAGTGAGGGGAGGGCAAAGGCAAGGGCATGAAGGTAAGACTGGGACTCTAGATGAGCTTTTTGGGGATCAACAAATAATCTAATGACTCTTTTCAAGGATTTATATAAGGCAACAACTAGTCAACAGTAGCTCATAGAGGTCTCAAAAAGAGTACAGACAGTCTTAAATGTGAAAATATGGGATTATACTTCATTCTATGGACTGTGGGGAAACACTGAAGGTTTTTGAGTAGGGAGTGGTGGTGGTGAAACCAAAACATAATGGACAAAAGTCTAACAGCAATATCATAGATAGTTTGAGGCAGAAAATAATGGAAGAGGACAGGAACAGGAAGAGAAGAGACACAGACAGAAGGTAGGGAGACAATTTATTAATAGAAAACAATTTTGAAATTAGCACACCAAGGAATACTGAAAGAAAATACTGAAAAGAGATGGCATCTCAGAAGTTGTGAGACTATGAGGAAAGAGTCATTCATCACTAGAACCCCAATCCTTGACACATTAGGTAGGTACTAAACAGATATTCAGTAGAACTAATTATAAGATTTCAAGTCAGGACAACTGAAAGAATGAGTGAACAGGAAAAAATGGGAACTGGTTTGAAGAGAAAGGTTCACAATATTAAACAAGGCTGCACTGTTCATCTTTATCACTGTGTACACTTTGTCTAAGTGTTTCCCTAGAATCAAGTCCTACAAATAGAAATGGTGTATCATGGAATATATGCATTCTACCCATGTTTTATGTCATTGTAAGTCATCAAAAAGAAAATAATTGAATAAATACAGTATTGAGTACTAGTTAAATAAATAGAAAGGAAGTAAATGTGAGCCAAGAATTAAATCTTACAATGTACTTTACCTCAACATGCTTTTAAAGCAATCTTTTGTTTTTCTAAAAATAAAAACCACTACCACCACAATCACCTCATGCACATAAGCTTCCCTTCTCAGGATTGCCTCTATGCCATCACTACCACCTGCAAGCCATAAAAATTGCCTGCACAGACACCCCCTAATGCATCTTTAAAATACTTACCTAAGATGTAAGCAGCCACTAATTTTTGATTCACACTTAAGTGGAGGTAAAGAGGCACCAGCGATTCCACATCCCCCAGTGTAGGAAGCATTAGAGCTGCAATGCACACCACTCCCAGGAAGACAGTTAGTAAACTAGGTCCTGAGGAGACAGTTCTATTTTCTGTAAAAAGACAAAAATCCCTGAGCTTGCTTCTAAAAACAACTTAGACAAAAGTTTTTTCACATATACTGTCCACCTCACCAGGATTCTGATCTTGTCTAAAGATAATTTCAAGGAATCCTTAGTATTTAGAGAAATTCAAAAATATTTACATAAATGCTTAAAATTTTTCAAAATAGAAATAGCCTTTTTTCTGATTATTATAAAAGCTGATAGATATATAGAAATCATAAAGGTTCCTATATAATCCCATCTTCCTGGAAATAAGACTATTCACAGCTTGGCATAAATCCTTTCAGATTTTATTAATGACTATGTAAATATGTAAAATAAATTTTCATATAAATAAGATCATATTATACCTACTGTTCTAAACCTGTTTTTTCTCTCACTTAGGAGTATATTTGAATCCTTAGGAATATATTTGAACCTCTTTCCATGTCAATATATAACCACCTATCATTCTATCAAATCCTTGTAAAGGCCTGACTAGCATCCCATCTCGCAAATATTCAAAATTTAATCAATTCCTAATTGATGGTCTTTTAGGTCATCTTCAATGTTTTATTATTATAAACAATAGGAAAGAGCCTGATTTTCTTAAGCCAGAGAGCACTGACTCAAACATTGCAAAGACATAGTTCATTAGTAACGTAATTAAGACAAACCCACAAAGATTCAGCAACATCTTTTTAAAACATCTTGTAAATAACTTGGGCTGTGGTATTTTATAAAAGTATGCTTTGCAGGTTTCTCTTGGTTAAATTTCTATTAAATGAAAAATATATACAAAATTATATTTATGTGCATAGACAAGGCCTGGAAAGTAACATGGGGCATTTATATCAGATGTTTTTGGTTAAATTTTTACTTTACTGATTTTGAGAGAGAAGAGAAAGGGAGAAAGAGAGAGAGAGGAAGAAGGAGAGGGAGAGGTTGAGGGAGAGGGAGAGATTCCACTTATTTATGCATTCATTGGTTGACTCTTGTATGTGCCCTGACCGTGGATGGAACCCACAACCTTTGTGTATCAGGACAATGCTCTACCCAACTGAGCTACCCAGCCAGGGACAGATATATTAAGTGTATGGGATTATATGGGGCTATATTCTTTAAAAAATTTATTGCTGTATGTTTTTATACAATAAACTTGAGAAAAAAATTTCTCATTTTTACTGCCTCAATACATTTAAAAATCTGAATCTTTAATGACTACAGCCTATGACCATTTCCCAGCTAGCTCAAAGAGCCTCACAACATTTTTGTACTTATAATATGTCTAGTAAACACCTTTCAAGCTAAAGACATAAAAAATAATACCACTTCAAAATTTCCCAAAAACATAATCTCAATTTATTTCAACATTTCAGCTTAGGGAACCTTAATGAAAAACCTTAGAATACTACATACCGGAAAACACACGTAAGTAATTCACTATAGTCCTATGCAGGATAATTATGTTTTGGTTAACTACAGATGCCATATATAACTGTAGTCCCATAAGATTATAATGGAGCTGAAAAACACTTTATCACCTAGTTATATTTTACCCATCCTAGTGTCATAGCACAACACATTTCTCACATTTTTGTGGTGAATCTGGTGTAAGCAAACTTACTGAGCTATAGGTCATATAAAAGTATAGCACATACATTTGTGCACAGTATACAGTACCTGATAATGATAATAACTATATTAGTAGCTTCTGTATTTGCTATACTATATAGATTTTTATCATTATTTTACAGTATATACTCTTTCTACTTACAGAGTTTGCTATAAAAAAAGTATGTTGTATTATGCAGGCAACAGCAGTTCCATAACATGTTTTGAAATAAGACCATAACAGGTCTCATGTTTTCCACATCACTTAACTGCATCATGTTCTCTTGTGCTTTATTTAATCTTGTGTTGTTTTGTGCAGTGACACACTGTACAGATTTGTAGCCTAGGAGCAATAGGCTGTAACCATATGGCCTAGGTATGTAGTAGACTATATCATCTAGGTCTGTATAATTGTAGTCTATGATGTATGAACAACAAAATTATCTAATGACACATTTCTCAGAATGTATTCCCAGTCATTAAGTGGCACATGACTATATTAAAATAATAAATAGGAGAAGTTAAAATATCACTTAGTCAACACAGACTAAATTAGTCACAATTATACTTTATTAAAGAAGAAAACTTGACTCAATTCCAGATTAGAAACATTGGGTTAACAACCCACAAACAGAACATTTGTGCCAAGACTGTATTTGGGACTTTACTGCCATATTGCCCTTGTTCTAGAGTGTCCATAGCAGCAGATACCTTGTAAGACAAAGAAAACGAACCCAAGAGACCCTATAAAATAAGAAGTCCAGACTTACCAGTGTAGCCCATATACACATTTCCCATGTAACTATAGTCAGCCCTTCATATTCACAGGTTCCAAATCTGCAGATTCAACAAATCATTGATTTGCAGTTGAAGGATGTGGAGCCCATGGATACAAAGGGCTGAAAAAGGCACTTGGGCATCTTCAGATTTTAGTATTTGGGGCTGGAGAGGGAGGGGTCCTGGAACCAATCACCCTTGGATACCAAGGGATGGATGATTGTATTCTGTGCAGAGAACATAATGGTAAACAAGACAAATAAGGGGCCTGTTTTCATTGAGCTTCCTGACATGGATGGCTTAGAGAGATTTTTTTCCAAAACAGAGATCACCAAGGGTTATTTCAATATCACCTATCTTCATTCATCCACCTACTCCAATTTTACAATTAGAGAAATATTTTAATATACTTCAGATATCAAAGTTTCATTATAAAAATAAAATAAGAATAAAATTCTCAATTAATACATACTGTAATTATTTAGCCTTTCAGGATAATTTTTCAACTGAATTCTAATACATTTAAAAATAAAAGAAAAAGCCCTGGCTGGTGTAGCTCAGTGGATTGAGCAAAGGCCTGCAAACCAAAGGGTTGCTGGTTTAATTCTCGGTCAGGGCACATACCTGTGTTGTGGGCTAGGTCCCCAGTTGGGGACATGTGAGGGGCAACCACACACTGATGTTTCTCTCCCTCTCTTTCTCCTTCCCTTCCCCTCTCTAAATAAATAAATAAAATCTTTAGATAGATAGATAGATGATAGATAGATAAAAAGAAAAGAAAAAATACAACTAAACTTTTAACTCTTATTATTCTTGACTATTAAACTGGTCTGTTAAATATAAAAATGAGCTCCAATGAACTTAACATCAAAAAAAAATTCATTATATGGTCTTTCTTGTTCTAGAGAAGGCACCTTAAAAGGAGAATCTTGCATTTCATAAATATTTATAAGTCAACATACTATTGATCTGAGGTCAAAGTGACATTTGACAGAGGGTTTCTTTCAGCTTCAAATGATGAAAAGTTGGTCCTGTCAATCAATAATAATTGCTAAAAAGAAAACAATCTACTAGCTACTATCTGGTCCCTAGTTTTGGTATCACCAGAAAATCTGAGCTCTTTCTACATGGACTGAGAAGGCTTGACTATAGTAAATCAAAGAGGTATTGCTCACTGTGTTATTGAAAGAAACATGCTAAGATGAACAAACTAATATAATAACAAGTACACTTCATGTGGCACTTTCAAGGACAGCTACTATCACATTCATATATCATTTTCAAAAATGTTTCCATGTTTTCTTATGGAAAATTTATCTTCCTCCTTTTATAATAGAGTTGGAGGGAGATAATGAGAAGTTAAGAGGGTAGGGGGAAAATATCCAAAGAGTTGAAGATGAGGATAGTGTCAGTGTTAAAAGAATATATCATAACATTTCTGAATATCTAAGCTGGGAGGAAATGAGGAATGGAGAAGTATTCAATTAATAGCCCACAGGGGATATTATAATCTACTTAGTTTAATTAACTTCAACTTTAATGAGATTTTTTTCAAAATAATATGAACAGTTCACCAAGTTTGGCCTATGGCCAAACACAATCTCTCTCTCCTTCTTTGAACTAATTAAATGAGAAAGGATATAGGAAAGTCACAGAAACAAAAGTATATAATTACCAGATTGTGCTAGCATTATAAAGTACATTGTCAGTTTTTATAGGTTTAAAGGTTATGGTAAGAAAACTGTACTTGAACAATGATTAAAATAAAAGAAAAGGTTATGGCAACATTTGCCTTTTCTTTACATCATCCTCTAGTCCTCTCTGAAAGTCCAGCTCTAGGTCTCAGGAGGCTCGATTTTAAGTACCTGATCTCTAGGTTCTGTTTTGAAATAGCTGATTAGGTTTAAAGTGACAGATTATTTTTCTAGTAATTATTCTTAGCTCCCTGATTAAAGTTAGCAATGTGTAAGACCTCAAAAGGGCTTTAAAAACAAGCTAAAATTACCTGGTTGAAATGACTGCTCAAAAAATAAACTTTCACTCAATGGTTCCTTTATTCTTTTTTCCTCTTCTTCCTTTTGTTGCTCTTTTGCAGAAGGGAGAAGAGTAGCCACAACCTCTTTCCTTCCTAAAGCCTTCCTCTGGCTTTGCTCAGAAACTTGGAGACGAAATTTGTCTACTACACCATAGTGACAGGATCGAACATCTCTATGACGAATCACACTGAAAACATTCAAAAATAACAAATGCTGTTTAGGTTTCTGGGGGGGGGCTGTCAAACAGAATTCAGCAAGAGATTTTATATAGTAAAACAATATGAACTGACTATAACCAAATACTCAAATATAGAAATTTGTTAATGAAGATAAAAAACTACAGTAAAACCCAAAAAGAAATGGGTAATTCTGAAATATTTGATAAAAGCACACACTCCAAAACAGAATAAAAGTCTCAAGTAAAAGAATGACAGGTAAAGAAAATTCCTTTGGCAATGACATTTTTTTCTGGATATCTGTGTGCAGGAACATTTACTAAATAAAATATATGAAATTGTTTCTTCCCCCACAAAAGTTTCATAAATCGCTATTGCCTCTTATTTACCAAGTCACAAACCTCACCCTAGGCTTAAAACTGAAATCCATGAATGCAGGTGAAAATAAGCATTTGCATAAGTAATCAATTCTGAGCAATCCAACCAAAAGCTAACAATACACATCTATATCTCTCTGAAAAGAGTATAAAGCACTTTTATTTTTACACCTTATCTGCAATTCCATATATTCTACTTAATTCTTCATAGAGAACACAGAACAATTAAATCTAAGGTAACACATTTATTTGACTAGAGACTACATTTCTTTGGAATAGTCCTTGCTTATTTTGTATTGAATGAAAATCAAAACAAATGTGCAAAAACATGGGGAGAGCTGGGGGTTTGGGCTGGGGTTGGGGGGAAAAGGCAGAAAATTGTACTTGAACAATAAAATATTTTTTAAAAAAGAAAGAAATGTGCAAAAACACTTCCTTAAAGAGACATCATTTTAAGGCCTTAAGTCTATTCAAAAGAAAATAAGAACAATCCAACAATAGCCAGAGGAAAGCGGGGAGGGGACTGTGTGGAGAAAGGTTTTCAGGAACTACTATAAAGGATGCATGGACAAAACCAACGGGGAGGGTGGAAGCAAGAGAGGGAGGTGGGTTTGGAGGGGGTGGGGAGAAAATACAAAGAACTGTAATTGAACAACAATAAAATAATTTAATAAAAAATAAAAAAACACTTCTCTCATTTTCATAGAAAATTTAAACAAATACAGTTTACTTGGTGGTTTAAACTAAGGGCAGGTCAATGGATCCATCTGGTCACCATCAGTTCTAAAGTGAAAATTAAATTTAAACAGCTTGAAAAAACAATCATTCATCTGACACTAAGAAAAATTATCTGGAAGAGCTCAGATAACCTTTTACTTGCTTCCTGTTTGTATAGATTAACTTCCAAGCTTATTAGCTGAATCATTTCAGATGAACTTATATTACCTTTGTTCTGAGAGTGTAGTATTAGTTTCCCAAATGTCACTATAATAGCAACATGTTTCAAAGAAAGCTAAATTTTTTATAGCTAGAGAAATTGAAAGGAATAAGTTAGAACTTTACCTTCATAAACGTCCATTATGACTAAAAGCACATCAATGAGGAAATGTTCATGGAAATAGTAACATACACATTGGTCCCAATATAATGAAGTGTTATTTGGTTGACCTGTTCAGAAGCTCTTAGATACTTCTTAAAAAGATTTTTTCTTTTTAATTACATTTATTGGGGTGACAATGAAAATCATATAGGCTTCAAGTATATAACTATGATACATCATCTATATATTATACTGTGTGCCCACCACCCAAAGTCAAATCTTCTGCACCATATATTTGATCCCCTTTATGCTTTACTACCTGCACCCCTCAAGAATTTTGATAGACTAAAACTTTCAGCAAAAATAAAAGTATAATAAATGCCTATGTGGGAACAGTTTCAAGAAAAAACATTTTCAAGTTAAACAATTAAACACAAATATTAACACATTAAAACATGTTACCAGGAAGTGATTGGGACTTACATATCCACACAACACTGAGGCTTTACTGCACCTGCAGCATCAACGACAACATACTTATTTGGAGTAGTACACAAAACTGAAAGAAAAATTCACAATGACCATTAGTGTTTTTTTAAAAATTAGTTTCTACAAGTAAAAATTTAGTAGGGACTAGTTAAAATCCATCAAATAGACCTAGAAGACTCACCTTTGAACTTTAAGGCAAACTCATAGGGATTATATAGAGTCAACACTTGCTTATGCGTTGACTGGTCATCTGCATAAAATATTAGCTCCGTGGGAAACACAAAAACAGGAAGATTTCCTTCCACTAACTCTAGCTGTCTTTTTTGTTGATGCATTGGCACTGAATCCCCTTTGCTGCAGCTTCTGTTTTAGAGCCTTAAATCTATTTCAGACTTTTCGTAAAGTTAGTTAAAAATTCCAAAGCATTTTGGCAATCTGGAAAGAGAAGAGAAAAAGAAAACTGAATGATACCTGTTTACATTTCTTGTCCCACCACAAAAAGAATGCATTAAAATAGGCCCCCAAATGATTTAAACATGTCTTTAGACTTTTCCTCCTGGCTTATTTATATAGCTTTTACCAAACTACACCAAGAAATTTATACATGTTCCTTTCCCATGCAAGATTTCAACCTATGATAAATAACATTAATACCTGAATGAAGGAATAAAGGCTTTCTACCTTAAATTAATCACCCCCTTTCAAAGAGATGAGATCAACGAGATACCACTCTTTTTAAACGCTGAAAAAATGTGTTTTTTTAAATAAGGTTTTTTAAAAAGATTTTATTTATTTATTTTAGAGAGGGGAAGGGAGGGAGAGAAAGAGGTAGAGAAACATCAATGTGTGGTTGCCTGTCATGCACCCCTTGTTGGGGACCTGGCCTACAATCCAGGCATGTTACCTGACTGGGAATTGAACCAGAGACCCTTTGGTTCACAGGCTGGCACTTAATCCACTGAGCCACACCAGCCAGGGCTAAACCTCAGTTTTCAAAAAAGCAAAATAAAAGTACTGTCACCACCAATTTTATGTGAGCCAATCAGAATTTTTAAAAGCTAAAATATAAAACAAAGTAAGTTTCCATGATTTATAAGAAAAAAAAAACCATGAGAATCATTTTCACACTCATTTCAGCAATACTTTATTTAGTGCCTTCAGACAGCATGGATAGGAGATTTCTTTTAATCTCTTTTCTGTTCAAATCCAAAATAAGCAAAAATGTCTGGAAGGGAAGCCAAATATCCAAACTTGCTAAGCAGTCCATGGAGTTTTCTATGAAAATTCAAAGTCAGTAAGTAGGCCTCGGCATGCAAGTGGCACTGTGCCTCCCCTCCTACATCAAGTGCACAGACTTCATGAGAGCTATTTTCTTCCAACTTCAAAGATCTTTCTGGATTCCTTCTGGGATTCTTGAATATGTTCCAGACAGCTGTAACTGGCAGAAGTCTGACTGTCTGATAAGTGCAATATTGTTGTATTTATTTCCTAATCTAATTTTAAGCAACAACATTTATTTAGCTAACAACCTAAGTGTGATTTTTAATAAAATCAAATAAAATGCAAAAGTTAAACATACATTCACAGAAAATGTCTGATTTTCACCCTGTAGATCACACCTTTAAAATAGGCCATAAAGCATTTAATACTTTGCATTCAAGTTCCCATACATTCAAAGAGAAATGTAACAAATGATTAAAATTTTTGGTTTTACCAGCTACTTGGGTGCATGAGCTCTGATTCTGATTAAAGCCTTTCCAATTTTTATCAAATAGGATACTGTATAGTCATGTATGCAAATGTTTATCCCTTTCTTCCAGCTGAAAGCCTATTATAGGCCTGGCACTTTGTCAGGAGCTGCACAAAAACACAAAGATAAATAATGCACAGGCCTTGTCCTCAAGAAACTCAAGTCTCATTGATAAAACAAAATAAATATTGAAGCTACTTCTATTATAATGCATACTGTTGTATATGAAGTATTGGAGAATTAGAAGAGTACATGAATAATCCTACCTGGAAGAGAAGCTAGGCGATGGAATTTGAGGTTGTCCTTAAAGAAAAGGATACATGCCCTGACTGGTGTAGCTCAGTGGGCTGGGTGTCATCCTGTGAACCAAAAGGTCACAGGTTCCATTCCAGTCAGGGCACATACCTGGGTTGTGGGCCAGGTCCCCAGTTGGCGGGGTGTGAGAGGCAAAAGAGAGAGAGAGAGAGAGAGAGAGAGAGAGAGAGAGAGAGAGAGAGAGAGAGAGAGAGAGAGAGAGAGAGAGATCTCCCAGATCATCATGGTAATTTATATCCATATATTTCATAGCATGCATGTAGCTCATGAAAGTGTTGCTTTTTTTTTACTGAGCTAAAAGGACCTATTGACATTTTTATATGTAATAATGTTTAACATTTGTATAATTCATAACAAATTGAAATTTTTTATTAATTACATATATTGAATGAATTATATTGTATATACAACTTTTAGCATTTACTCTAGGCCAGGCAATGTTCTAAGTATTTGTTATTATTATTAAATTAGGAAGAGACCAGACTAAGACAAAAAATATCAGTAAACCTCCTGCTTCCTAGTCAGTATTCTTTCCACTATATCAAAGTACCTGTCCATTTCAATAAAATATAACTAAGATTATTCTGAAAAGTATCTGATTAAATAATTTTATTTTTGAGCTTTTATTTGACCTGAAATTTCTTTCTTTTTCTAAAAGCCATATGCATTTGTTTTTAGATAATCTGCTCTCAGATGTTTGGCATCTTGTTTTTTCAATAGAAAATAATAAGTTCTATAATTACTTCCTTAGTAAGCTTGGCTATTAGGAATAGAACATCCAAACTTGGCATCACTAAATAAAATTCAACATCACATTCTAAAAATGTTAGAATGAGAATTTAGCTTATGGTAAAAGCTTAAATTTCTGATTTGTAGAAGATAGTTTAGTCAATAAATGTTGATAAAGCTGGTTCTCCCTCTAGGGAAAAAAGTTAAATTTATCCCTCATGCCTTATAAAATTCCAAAATTTTATTAAGGTAAATTCCACATGGATCAAAGCTTTAAATGTGAAGAAATAAAACCATAAAACATGAGAAACCACGTTTATCATATTTCTTCCTAATTTAATAATAATAATAACAAATTTACTTCTCATATCATTTATTCCCCAGTAAACCATGGGGAATATTTTCTTTTTTGTAATCTTAGGTTTTCTAACAACCAGAAACTAAAAAATATTAGTAAATTCAACTACATAAAAACTTTAATAATTCTATATGGCAAAATACTTTCTTTAAAAAAAAAGATTTTATTTTTTTTTAGAGTGGGAAGGGAGGGAGGGAGGGAGGGAGGGAGAGACAGACAGACAGACAGACAGACATCAATGTGTGGTTGCTAGGGGCCATGGCCTGCAACCCAGGCATGTGTCCTGACTGGGAATCGAACCTGCGACAGTTTGGTTTGCAGCCCATGCTCAATCCACTGAGCTACGCCAGCCAGGGCTTGCAAAATACTTTCTAGGCAAAGCCAAAAGAACATTTTTAATTCATATCATAGGCAATTTCTAGTTTTCCTACTACATATCAAGGTCCTACAAATCATTACAAAAAGATACCTCAATATGAAAACAAACAAACACTACAATATTTTATAGATAAGGACATACAGATTGCTCTTAACCTTACAAAAGGTTGTGTAACTTCACAGGAGAAATACAAACTAAATTTATACTGAAATAAATGTTTTTATCTGTCAGATTAGCAAAAATCAAAAAGTTTGACACCAGATGGTTGGAGCAATCAGGCATGTTCTTAACATTGCTAGTGTGTATATAAATTGGCATATCTACTATACCTGCAAAAATTAAATGCACATACCCTCAAATCTAGAGATTCTACTTCCAGGAATTTATCTGATATAAATATTCCCCATGTGAAAGAATATTTTGTTTTCACTTTTTTTTCCAGCACTGAGGATTAAAGTGTACATGAGGCACATAGAACGAAGCTTGGCACTCAATAAGAGCGAGTGTGTCAATAGCAAAAGACTGGAAACAGCCCACAGGTCAATTAATAGTGACTTATTAAATATGGTATAGCCATCTGTTGTGGTAACATATCTGTCAAGAAGAAGAAGTTATTTATGTAGTGTGCATTTGGACTTATTTTCAAGAGTAGCATTAAGTGAGAAAACCAAGGTGCTATGCTGAGTGTATAGTATGCTGTCATTTGTATGAAAAAAAAAAGGAGATAAAAGTATATGTAAATCTACTTTCTTGGATATGGGTAAAATATCTCTGGAAGGGTGGCCAGAGTCACACCTGGAAGTACATTGAGTGGCCAGGGACAGGGCTGGGGGAGCTTTCTCCCAATACCTTCTAGTACCTTTTGAATTCTGAATGCTATGATAACTATTCAAAAGTAGTTTTTTTTAAAGATTTTATTTATTTTTAGAGAGGGGAAGGGAGGGAGAAAGAAACACCAATATGTAGTTGCCTCTCACATGCCCCACACTGGGGACCTGGCCAGCAACCCAGGCATGTGCCCTGACTGGGAATCAAACTGGTAACCTTTTGGTTCACATGTAGGGCAGCTCTCAATCCATTGAGCCACACCAGCTAGGGCTCAAAAGTTTGTTGTTGTTTCTTAGATTGGAAAAGTTTGAATTAAACAACAACTCTGCTAGGGCCTAATTTGCAAAAGGTGCCAGGTTTATAAAGGACACATGGACAAAGCCAAAGGGGGTAGATTCAAGGGTGAGAGGTAGGGATGGGATGGAGGGGCATGGTGGGTGGAAAATGGAGACAAGTGTACTTGAACAACAACAAAAAATTATAAAAATAAAATAAAATGAAATGAAAACATGCCAGATTTGAAGCAATATAAAAACAATTTGTGAAAAAATCTGTTAATTGCATTTCCAATTTATGATCCTTTCATAAATTTGAAAATCTTAAAACAGTGTGTAAAGTAGAATGATTCCAATCATTTAAAATAATTTTATATGCAACAAATCCATTGCAATGAGAAAATAAAGTTTTATTTAAGATGACTTGCAAACTTAGGAAAATGTAAAACTTTTTGTTATAAAGGAGTATAAGATGGTTTATAAATCTAACCAGGAAGTTAAAATTAAGGAGAAGTAAGTCATCACAGGTCAGAGTAGAAATTTTACAAGCTTTATATATTGGCTTAGTATAAATTTTATTCTATTTTTGAAGCTTTATTCTAGTTTTGAAGCTTTCTCTTTACCAGTTTAATATGTACACATTCTCCCATGAATCGTGAATAGACTGTCTATCTCCTGGTCACCATAAGTGTTTAATCATTTCTGGACAGTTTATTATTTCTTTTCACATCCCTGTTTCCATTCCTTGTTTATCTTGGCTAAGATATAAGTTATCTTCTAAACTCCAACCATTGGAAATTAGGGAGGAGTTAGCACCAGGTCACCAGGGCAATATTAGAGACTCTGCCAACAAACTTAATGAAGCTAAAACCTGCCTTAAAGTGATGGTTTTCTGGAGACTAACACTTTCTCCTTGTTCCAGTCCATATCACAAAATGATAAGGTGCAAAAATTCTGAGCAGAGATTATATACTAAGCCAGTAAAACCTTACTGAAAATTTGTTTATAAGGTCGCTTTCATAAAAGCATACACAAAGTCAAAGAATTTTAGCTTCTCATTTTACTGCTGAGGAAAGCAGGCACACAGTAAGGGACTTACCAGGGTATTAGTGGCAAGACTCCTGTCTCCAGACTCACCCTTCCCTACAGTCATCATCTGCTTCGTGTCTCAATTTAAAAGACCTGCTCCCTAATGCTGACATCCATGCATGCCCCCATCTCTAGAAAATTTCCCTGCTTTTCCAGAGTGTTCTCAAAGGATGATCCAAAATTCAAGCCTTGATATCTGTTTTTCCTTTTCAGTTTTACAAGGAAAAAAATCAAGAGAAAATTCCACTTACTAAGTTGTGCACAATGTCTTTTCCTTATTATTAAAGAACAGCTATGGCTGTCAGTAACTAACCATTAGGCATTAATAACCAAGGGTTATCTTATTTGTTCTCTCTAGACACCAAAATTTTTCTCATTCTTCAAAGGCAAGTTCAAATTCCCTCTTCTTGCAGCTTTCTTCTACTATCCTGATTTACATGGATCTCACTAACTTTATTATTTTAAATGTACTTATTGTATAGATTGGCTATTTTGACCTTTGTTTTGTGGGGATTGATTTTGACTCCCCAGATGTCAGGCATAATGCCATGTTGTTTTTCTGTGTTGTTTTTTTTTTTACATGCTTCATATACCCAAGCTTAGTGTTAGGCTCTTAGCAGACACTGAGCTTCAGTTAACCTACAAGAGTCTACTAATAATTGACTCTTTCATCAAGGAACACTGCCCTTCCCTGTAGCTGAACATACTTCATCCAAAGACAGGCAAAGGATCCCAATCAGGGGAGCAGTAAATCTGTAGGAGCTACTTGTCATGAGTTGTGGTAAGAGGTGAAAAGACAATCAGCACTCCCAGCCGCCCCTCTACCCCCTCCTTCCCTTTCTTCCTTCCATCTCCCTCAGGTTATCTCCTCTGGTTCTTCAGTGCCCAACTGGGCCAGTAGTGTTTAGAAATCCAAGGCTCCAACAGACCACTATACCCTCAACCTTTCAAGGAAATAGTGGAGCTAGGAGCTGGTGCTACAGGAAACTACCTTGCCCTTTTTCTTCCACACAAAGGCAATCCTGAATGAAATGTGAAAGAAAATCCTATGTATGTACACCACCTTGTGACCAGTTTGCAAAGTACTTTCCAAAAAAAAAAAAGCCTAAACGCCTTGAAATCCTCACTTTGTACCATCAGTCCAGAGAGGCCAGTACTCCAAAAGTGTGATTATTTTCTGTTTCCCTCACTTTGGACTGACCAGAGGAAGGAAAAGATGAGACTCTGAGATAAGCAAGGGAGTTTCAATATCTTTTGCCACCATAGATTCAAAACTTGGAGACTATTAGAGACCACAGAAACCACTTTAAAAGCATATTGTCATTTGCCCCTCCTTTTTTTGCGAAAAGGAGGCTGCAAGAAAATCAAATGAAGTAAGTGAAACTTAGCTATTCTTGTACTGAAGTGGTTCAAAGTTTAAAACAGTTAGGGATGATTCAGAGTACAGATGTCCCCATACACTAGTGGCCCATCTTCTTGGCTTCAGAGCACCAGCTACTTACTACCTGTCCCTGGCTCTTCTGTTTACTCTGATTAGGGTTCCTAGCTCCACCTCCAGGTCTGCTCCCTTTTATCTGGGCACAAGGGTTATCTTCTTTCTCCATACTTGGTACAGTCCTTCCCAAGGGCCAACTAAATACAAAATAGTTAAGAGCAATAAGTTGTTTTGCTTTATCCTCAATGGTATTAAAACCTCTCTTTCCTTCCCATTTCATAAACTCAGTTCTCTTCCTCTTTGAATATCCAGTATTGTCTATTGGGATTTTTAATGGCCAGTATGTTCCTAAAGTCAACTCTTTCACAAGTAATGCTATAATTCACTTTATATTTTTAAATGGTTCAATGCTCAATATTAGGCAATTTTTGTGTTTATACATTTCCTGGATTTTTTGGTACAGTTTGATATCTTACTCATGGGATTGATTGCTATAAATGATATATAGTGATAGGCTACTACATATTCAAGATATAAATTTGAGTGATGTATGCTTTAAGCATTTAAAAAATAAGGATGGTCTCCAGTAATGTCTTTTTAAAAAACATTTCCTTTACCTTGGCTGCTGTGGCTCAGTGGATTGGGTGCTGCCCTGTGAACCAAAAGGTCACCAGTTTGATTCCCAGTCAGGGCACATGCCTGGGTTGCAGGCCAGGTCCCCACTTGGGGGCGTGACAGAGGCAACTGATTGACGTATATCAAGGTTTCTCTCCCTTTCTTCCTCCCTTCCCATCTCTCTAAAAATGAATAAATAAAATGTTTGGAAAAAAAAACATTTCCTTTAAGCTAGTTATTCCAACATTTGTTTTACACTATCCCAATGTCTTCAGCTATTTCAAGATGTATGTGCAATTCCTAAAGCAAAAGTCATATTAATTCATTACATGAAATATATATGTTGCTATATATAGCACACTAGACATTTTAGAATAATAAATTCAGACAACAAACTTTTACTGAGCACTTATATACCAGACACTGTGTTAAGAAATGTGGAGAAAAGATGGAAACATTGTTTTGCCCTTCAAAACTCCATCTAACATGAAAACAGATACACATAATAGTTAGGATATGATGTGGCAAGTGTTAAAATGCTTGAAGATATAAAATGCTCTGGGAGCATAAAGAAAGTGATGGTCTGCCTTAAATAGGAGTTTGTAGTAGGTGTGGAGAGGGGGGTGAATTCTAGGAAGGATATGTGTAGAGACATGAAAGGGACACTTAAAATGAGCTTTGGCATTGTACATGATTAAAAAAAATAGTATGTATGAGGAAGAGGCAAGAGATAAGGTGGGAAAGGTAAGCTGGAGGCAGATGGAGCCAAGTCTTATAAGCCAAGTTCAGGGGTTTAGACTTTATTCTGGATGCCAGTGTTTCTCAATATGTGGTGCTGGAACAGGAGCAGCAGTTACACCTGGGAACTTGTTATAAATGCAAATTCTTGGGTCCTACCCTAGACCTACCGAATTAGAAATTGTGGGCTTGGGGCCTTCCAGATGATTCTAGTGCATCCTACACTTTGAGAACCATTGCTGCAGGCAATGGAGAACCTTCAAAGGATTTTAAGCAGAGAACTGAATAAAATCGGAAGTAGGAAACTGGTTACCATTGACCAGTCAAGCACAGCACCGGACTCCAGGGTAGTCATAGTGAGAAAAAAAAGAAAAAAAAAACTATTGAATGAGTGTGGCACAGAGAAATGATGAGGCCTAGTCTAAGAAAGTAGGAGTAGAGAGAAAACAGATTTTAGAGGTGTTTTCCAGGTGACCCAAGTTCTATCAGGAGACTAGGATAGATCCATACAAAGGTGTGACTGTAATGATTTTTATATAAAAGCACACTGTACTCTTGTTGAATGTATTGACCACTAGATGTCTGAAGAAAGAAATGGTCCACATAGACCATAGAATAAGGGAAGGTCAAAAGCAATTTCTATGCATTCCCATAGTGTCAAGAGCAAAGAGTACCCTGTCTTATACATGAGTCTGGTCTGCTTGGTAGATCTACTTCTCGCTGTAACTTAGTAAACTGGCATTCATAAATATAACACAGAAATCTTTCATGAGTGTGATTAGCATCAATCAATCCCTGAGACTGGTAAATAATTTCTGGATGTGCTGGCAAAATTAAATTTCAAACCCTAAAAACCTAAAAAAAAAAAAAAAAGGAATGGTTCTGGTGATCTAACCAAGGTACTACCAAGGTGAAGCCCTGCTAGAGCCACCTTCTTTTTATTCCAACTTCACCACTGATCACATAGCCCACTTATTTCAGGAAAAAGTTGGACTTTCCCTGAAATAATCAGACTTTGTACTATGCTGTGAAGGTCATGAAAGTCAGGCGAGGCTGTTATTTCTACTTTTGGAGACAGGATTTTGCTGAGGCAATCTTCCATTTCCTGATGGGGAGGAGAATGAAAAAGAGAGGTACAGATCAACCTATTAGGCTAATTTATCTCATAAGATTTTTTTCAGAGTGTGATTTCTATTTCTATCAGGACTCTGGTCCTGCATGTTGTTACTTACTGCATGTTTTTTTTTTTTTTAAATTGATACCAATATTTTGGCTTGTTTGACCATCTTATTTTGGCCAAGAATAGTTCCCAACCAAAAACCACACTATTTTATGGAACTGGAGAACTGTAAAAGACCCGGGAGGTTAAAACAAAACTTTCATATTACAGATAAGGAAAACAGAGGGCCTCCAAGAGTAAATCAGTTAATCTGTTTATTGTAGGGCAAGAGTCTCCAGAATGCTACAAGGTAACAAAACAAGATTAAGAGCAGCACAGATAATCTGCTCCTTTGAGTTTTAGACGAGATTTTAAATTTCTCTATTTTCCATCTTAAACTTCTTGAAACAGAAAAAGAATAGCAAATTACATACTTTATTGGGATGGACAAGCTTTTCTTGTAGTTTCTTGTTTTAGGTTTTCAGGCATTGGAGTTAAATGTAAATGCTCCATAAGAAAAAAATGGAAGTATTTGGGGAGAAAAGGTGCATGAACAATTTAAGGGGAGAAACATGCATTATTTTATAAGCTATTAGTTCTATCTTCTGTCTTTGCCAATAAAGGGGTAACTATAGTGAATATCATGCATTATATTTTTGGTGCATTACATTTAATTATATATTACATGTAAAGGAATTCTAGCGTAACTATCCTTAACATATTTGAAAAACTACAGACTTTCAAATATCCTGGTATTTGAGTAAGCCTCTTATTCTGAGAGTTCTAGAAATGCTTCCAAAAACTAGTTTAAACTCGCGTCCTGTTTGGGTTTATAGATGTGAACAACTTGAAAGGCACATTTGACCCCGTTTCCAAACTTCCCACTGCTCTATACTAAATATGCCATAATCTAAAAGTTGGTGTCCACTCCCTATACAATATCCTATATATAGCATCTTATAGTCAGAGAGATTTCCCAGAGCTTACAGGAAATGTCGACAAGATTTTCACTATCTAGAATATATTAAACCCCATGTGTGCCCTACCTGAAAAAGTAGACCTTTTCCCTGTCTGGAATTCACATTAAGAATGTAATGCATTCATAAAGAACAAGACTGCTTTTTAGGCACGATCCAAAGGACTCAATTTTTCAGGTTTGCATCGATCTCATTTCCTTTCAAAGGTCAAATATCTGGGACTGTTTTCATCTAATATTTGCCCTCTCGTTCCCCAACATGAGAGGTGTCTTTGAGTCTACTGGTGCAGAAATGTTGCTGTAGTCCAGAGAGGACAGATGTCAGTTACTTTACCCAGAAGGGGAAACCGCAGAACATTGATTAAGGGAGGGAGGGCAGGAGCGGGAGTATCAAACATTCGGTCCTAGGACTTCAGCTCTACCTGATTGGGTCGGGCCCAGCCTTTCCAGCCCCCAACCCCACACCGGCCGGCTCCACGTGAAACTGGTCATGTGAGCCTGTTTACAGCCGAGCAGCTGGTGCAATCATCAGAATCCGTGAGGAGGTCCTGGAAGGGGGAAGCATACAGGCCACATACCTCCTACACCCCCCACCATTATTCCAAGGCTGCGATCGCTGTCCCTCCCTGCCTCTCCACCCCACTTTCATCTCCCTCCAGCCACCCTGGTACTCCACTTTCCAGCCCCACCGATATCCAGTTGCTCAATAGGGGGGACCTGCAGGGCTGGAGGAAGGAGGAAACGCGAGGACGGTGTCACCCCGAACAGAGAGTCAACCTCGCTCCCACAGTCCTCTTGAAAACATCCGCTGAAGAGTTGTCCCCAGAGTCGCATCCCCGGGGTAACCGAACTCTGCCAGGCAGACACAGTGAGCATCCAGAGCCTGCTGCCTCCGCCCGGGAATGAGAGACACACTTACTGGCCGGCCAAACCCTGAGCTGGGATCCGTGTACCACAGAGCAACTGACAGAAATGGAGCAGAAAGGACCCCATCTGATTCCTTCTCTCCACTTCCCACCCGCATCCCGGCGCCACGGAGCCCTGCTGTCGGTCACCGAGACAAGCTCGGGGTTTAGGGACTGCTCATTCTTTCCACGGGGTCTCTCAGCAATGTAACTTCCATGTTTTCCCGAAGTCGGAGGAAGTGGGTGACAGGACGGCAGGGGACTCTCACCTCGGCAACACTGGCTCCTCGGAAAGCAGCTGCGACTGCTCCTCTGGTTCTTTGTCAGCGTCTCTAGGCTGCACTGCCTGCTGGGATACCGGAGGACTCAAATACCACCTCTCTCCGCCCTCGAGGATGAGAGCTGCTATTGGGGGTGGGTGGGAAAAGGGAGAAGAGGTGGAGCAAGGGGCGGGCCCAGAGCCGAGGGCGGGGCCTCCATACTGCCACCTTGCCTGTGTGGTTTCCTCTGTCTCCGGGCTCCAAACTTCTTTCTCCTGTCTCTGACCCTCCTCTCCCTTCCCCTCCTCTCCTCTTCTTTCCTCTCCCAATGCTTCTTGAGACTGGGGACTCTTACAGATGTGCCACCTGCCTTTGCACTTGTTAGGCAGCCACCCTTGACTCCTCCGCCTTCTTACTCCCCTACACACTCACAGATCCAGTGAGTACAAAGGCTAGTTGATTCCACCTCTGAGACATGTCTTATTGACCACCTTTCTCCACTCTATTATCCTCAGTGCTGCAGACTCTGTTTAGGCCCCATGACCTTTTGTTCAGTTACACTCCTGTTTGGACTCTCTCCCACTCTTGCCCTTTTCTACCCCATCTCCCAGACAACAGCCAGAGGGATTTATCTAAGATATGTAGGTGACTGTGTTACTCTTTTGTTTAAAACTTTTCAATGTCTCAGCAGTACCTACATCCATTAGCATGCTATAAGGCCTTCTGTAATTCTTTTCGGATGCACCCAATACTCTAACCCAATAAACTGGCCATCCATGAAAGACAGCAGGGCCTGGGACAACTCAACTAGTGCTGACTACCTCAAATCACACCTACCCCTTGTACTGAGACCACATAGTCAGTAAGACTCACAGGCCCTTAGAGTATCATTAAAGATGGAATTTTCAAAATTAAGTTTTAATGATCTTCATAAGGAAGAGTAAGGTGCAGCTGCCACAGGTTCCTTCCCCACAAGTATAAGGCCCAAAGAATTCTCCCCAGTTGCCCGCCTGAGCAATGGGCTGCCAGCAGATCTTCCTTAGGCTCAGGCTTCTGATGCCTTTGCTCACAGATTCCCTCCATTTATAATGCCTGTCTCTGTCTTTGGAATACTATCTATCTTTCAAGGCCCAGGGGAAATGATATGTCCTGAAATAAACCTTCCAGAATCTCCCATGAGAACTATTATTTAAAAATTCTTTATTGTTACTCTATTACAGTTGTCCCAATTTTTCCCTCTTTACCCCCTCTACCCAGCCCAAGTCCTACTTCCACAGTCAATCCTCACACCATTGGCCATGTCCATGGGTCTTTTATATATGTTCTTTGACTAGTCCTTTCCCCTTCTTCCACCATTATTTCCCACCCCCCTCCTCTCTGGTTTCCACATTTCTATGCCTCTGGTTCTATTTTGCTCATTAGTTTATTTTGTTCATTAGATTCCTCTTATAAGTGAAACCATATGCCACTTGTCTTTCTGTTTGACTTATTTCACTTCTTTTTTTTAAGATTTTATTTATTTATTTTTAGAGAAGGAAGGGAAGGAGAGAGAGAGAGAGAGAGAGAAAGAGAGAGAGAGAGAGAGAGACATCAATGTGCGGTTGCTGGGGGCCATGGCCTGCAACCAAGGCATGTGCCCTGACTGGGAATAGAACCTGCGATGCCTGGTTCGCAGCCCGCGCTCAATCCACTGAGCTACACCAGCCAGGGCCAATTTATTTCACTTCTTAGTATGATACCGTCTGGGTTCATCCATGTTCTTGCAAATGGCAAGATTTCATTATTTTTATGGCTGTGTATATCCCATTCTTTATTCATTCATTTATTGATGGACACCTAGGTTTGCTTCCATATCTTGGATATTGTAAATAATACTGCAATATACATAGGGGTGCATATATCTTTTCAAATTAGTGTTTTGTTTTCTTCACATAAATACTCAGAAGTGGAATTGTTAGGTCCTATATTTACTTTCAGTTTTTGAGGAATCTCCATTCTATTTTTCACAGTGGCTGCACCAACTTACAGTCCTACCAAGAGTGCACAAGAGTTCTCTTTTCTCCACATCCTTGCCAGTATATGTTATTTGTTGACTTTAACTTTATTTTTTATTATTTTTAAAGATTTTATTTATGTATTTATTTTTAGAGAGAGGAGAAGAAAGGGAGAAAGAGAGGGAGAAAAACGTTGATGTGCAAAAGAAACATTGATCAGTTGCCTCTTGCATGACTCTAACTGGGTACCTGGGCTGTAATCCTGACCTGGAATCAAATGGTCAACCTTTCTGTTTGTGGGATGATGCCCAACCCACAGAGCCACATCAGTCAAGGCTTTTTGTTGACTTTTTGATAATAGCCATGCTGACAGGTGTAAGGTGCTGATATCTCATTGTGCTTTTGATTTGCATTTCCCTGATGATTAGTGATGTTGAGCATCTTTTGACGTCTGTTGGCCATCTGTACGTCCTCTAGAGAAATGTCTCTTCATGTCCTCTGCACATTTTTGGATTGGATTGTTTATATTTGTCGTTGTTGTTATTGAGTTGTATGAGTTTTTTGTATACTTTGGAAATCAACTCCCTATTGGACATGAGAATATATTCTTCCATTCAGTAGGTTGTGGTATTTGGAAATCTGGACAGGCATGGAAAAAAATGAAACTGGATCACTCTTTTTATCCCATATGCAAAAATAAATGCCAAATAGATTAAAGACTTATATGTAAGGCCTGAAAACCATAAAACCCATAGGGGAAAAACATAGGTAGTTTTTGTAGTAAACTGACATCAGCCTCAGTAATGTCTTTTTTGATATGTCCCCTTGAGCAAGAGAAACTAAAGTAAAAAAAAAATGGAACTTCTATTAACTCCTGCTCCATCACCATAGAACGTTGCTTATTCTGCTTTGCAATTTTCCTGGCTTACATAATCACTAGTCATATAAATGCCTTCCTTTCTCTTCTACCTAGACTATGAATTACTCAGCTGCCAACACAAATACCTAATCCAGAAAAGATGTCAATACAAAAAGATGTCAATCCTTCAACTCCACAGCATCTGAGGCCCTAAATAAGCCCAGAAAGGATATTAGGCCATGCCTTGTACAACTATACTCCCTTCCCTAGGTCACCTCCATCTTGACCCAGCCACATGTCACTTTGCAAACATAAACTGGTTAGGCAGCAAGAACATTGCGAAAGAACCAAAGCTTGTACTTCCCTTGCAGGTCAGACTGGTTTGTAGTACAGTATGTGGTTATGGAAAATGTAACCCGTACAGTTCACATGAGAATACAGTGTAGTAAAATTTCCTGGTGCCATAGAAAATAACTGAGTTTCCACATGCAGACATATCTCCTACCTTTGGGAGGTTTTGGACTCCTATTTGCCCAGGCTACTTTTGGACTCCATAACCCCTCAAACCTTGTATTCTGTATTATAAGGTATTCTTTCTTCAAAGTATGTATCTTGATTTGTGTTGTTATTGCATTATTTCATCATATTTATTTTCTCTCAAATTATATTACAAACTATACCCTGGCAGGGTTTCTTCATCCCTAAAATGGGGACAAGAATCCTTGGCCTACACTTTTAACAGTTTAGCAGCCTGTTAAAAGATTCTAAGGTGGTAATATGTATGATGATGTAACTATAGAATGCTCTTCAAATGTAAGGTCTGTTTTATTATTACAATTTTTAAAACCTTTACACTCTACTACTTAGGTATGTGCATTTGAGATTCCATGTTTGGAGTCAAAACCTTTATTGCAAATTTCTGGGTATAATGCTTTAAACCATGGTTTCCCAAATTTGACAGAGAATAAGAATCACTGAGAGATCTTGTTAAAACCACATTTCTAGAATCTACCCTAGACCTACTGAATTAAAAAAATCCAGATAAGATTCTGCTCTAACAATTCTAAAGTGTGGACTTGTCTGCACTTTATTCTCTGTGCCACCAATTCTCTGACACTAGCTGCGAATCTTACAATTCAACTAGATTTTTTCATTTTATTTTTCAATTACAGTTTACATCCAATATTATTTTGTATTAGTTTTGGGTCTGCAGCAAAGTGTCCCCCCCATATTTCCTGTACCCAGCTGGCATCATACATAGTTATTGCAATATTATTCTCTATATTCCCTATACTGTAGTTTATATACCTGTGACTATTTTGTAAGTACCAATTTATACTTCTTAGTCCCTTCAGCTTTTCACCCAGTCCCCAACTTTCCCCGCCTCTGGCAACCATCAGACTGTTCTCTGTATCTATTAGTATGTTTCTATTTTGTTTGTTCATTTATTTTGTTCTTTAGATTCTACATAAATGAAACTATATGAAATTTTTCTTTCTTTGGCTTATTTCACTTAGCATAATACCCTCTAGGTCCATCCATGGCTGTCACAGGGGTAAGGTTTCATTCTTTTTATGCCCGAGTATTATTCCAATGCATGTATGTACCACAATTCTTTTATCCACCTGCCTATTGATGGGCACTTGGTCTGTTTACATTGCTTGCCTACTGTAAATTACCATGCAATGAACACAGAGGGGCATATATTCTTTCATGTTAGTGTTTTGGGTTTCTTCAGATATATATCCAGAAGCAGAATCACTGGGTCAAATTCAACTCAATTTTGACAATGAACAAACTGAACTAATGAGAGAGAGTCTGATCATATTGCTAGGGAGGAATAGGAAAGGGCCTCCAGAGGAGGTTGCCCTAGGTAGTGGTAAATGGTCTAGGATGGGATTGGCTAGGAAGCTGAATGCCTGTAGAGTACATGGAATTATGAGCCAGAGAATTAAAACAAAAAGAGGGCAGAGAAGGGGCTCTCTGGGACTCTCTTCTTCAAGGATGCCTAGATGATGGTGCTGCAGCTGCCTGTGTTTCCCAACTGATGGAATTTTATATGGGAATGAACTCTGGACACTGCGTAGGATCAGGCTGGTCTGGCAGAGGGTGGCAGGGTTCTTCTTCTCTGGGTATTCTAGAGGGGTTGGGCTTTGCAGCAGAAGCCTGCCATTCTTCCAAAATTGTGTAGCTTTTGTACCTTATGTTG